ATTGATCATGTACTAAAATCCTGATAGTGATACCTGATGTGTAGTGTACAGGTGTGTAGGTCAATATTGTACTATACATAGCGTATCCCAGACTTGTAAAGGTGTAGGGAAAACACCATTAATAAGATACTGATGATCACTTTCAATCTTATCAAAACCTGATCCTAATTCAGAACAATTTCTTTATTCTGCAAGCCTTAAATCTAGTCATAACCTGGCTGTTGAAAGGAGAGTGTGCTATCCACTTCACTACCTGACCGTGTTGTAACTGTATAGCAACTTTATTATAAATATATGTATAAATTTGTATTGAGGTCACCTACTGCACTACATAGGTTCTCTGGGTACTCCAGTTTCCACTCACTTTAAGAACCCCTGCTACACTTCAAACCAACAAATATGATTAATAGAAAAAAATGCTCCATCACGTACCTTCTTGTTTAAATTTGTTTTGTAATTATTTTAAGGTGAATAAAGTCTATTGCAAATACTGGTAATGACAATACGAAGTAAATATAATTTAGTATTTACAATCGAAAATCGTTAAACCTGTTCCAATACTCAACCACCCCTTGGTATAGGTGCTGTTTGATGTATAGTAGAGCTGCAACGATATATCATATATCATGATCTTTTGATTATGGTACGATACACAATATTTTTTGGGAGGTTGCAATTGCAATACACCTACGATATTTTCAGGGTTTTGTCATTTCTGAAATTAGTCTGCTCATATCAGTTCCAACATGGCAAGAGACAGCTCCAGCTCGGCATGCACATCGAAAGAGTCGTGTCCATTAAGTCTATTTCCAGTTGTAATATTGCCATTAAAATTTTGCAACATATCTTTTCTCTTTGCTTCTACTGTTACTATATGTATCATGACCACAGTATCATGATAAGCATCGTATCGTCATGTTTTAATGTATTGTTACAGCCCTAAGTTGTACAGATCGGTGATATCTAGAGCCGAAGCTTGGTTTTGAAGGTGACTTAAAGCCATACAACAACTGACTTATAAATTTGCAGAGTTTAGATGGTAACCATGGTCTTGTGACTGGATGACATATACCATCTAATGGGATAACGTTTTTCTTTTTTTTCTGTTGTGGTAAACATGAGATTTACTTTTTGTCAAACAGCCATTTTTCAAGTTTTGGGATTCAGGATGGTAACCATACATTACCATTATGATTGGCTGAGATAATTACGGTTATAACTCAAGCTATAATGAGATAACTTTCTTCTGACTTATTTTAGTGATAAAGCTTTGACTTCTTGTTAAATAACCAGTCCACCATGTCCACTGATTGGCCGAGACATTTATGGTTATAACTGAAGTTCTATTGACAGACTTTCTTGGTACTTTGTTGGAAGTGATTATTAATAAGGGGTTTACTTTGTGTTGAAAGACTGACCTTTAAGTTTTGGGTTTGAAGATTGCTTCTATGGCCTCTGATTGACCCGTGAATTTATGCTGGTAAGTTAAGTTTTGTTGGGCAGATTTTAATGCAATCTTATAAGCATTATTTGCAACTGCAGGGATATAACAGGCCCTGTTACAGTTTGAACAATATCTTCTTATAAATTTTGATTTTATTTATTTACATTTGGTATTGTCATCTAAATACTTTAGTTATACTGGAATACTAACTTCGTGAATTACCATTTACAGATACCTGGTAACTGTCTCCAGTAACAAGGATGGGTGATGAATACATGCGCCTAATGGGGGCTGGGGCTGTGGCCATAGGGGCCATCACTACAGCATCGGCCTACTACCTGACCCGAAGTCCGCCCTCTGTACCAATGATTTGTGACCTTGACAACCAGTCATCTATTGTACCAGTGAGTACATGTAATTTATCTTGGTCATTACCTATTTTCTATTTAACTCTTGAAATGTTTATTATGAGTCAATATTACTACATGTAATGAGATTTTGTTTATTTCATCTTTATATTTTTTTTCATAAAAGTCCCGGAAGGCATGGACTTCATTTCAGATATTATTTATCAAAGCCATAGTCATGCTGGAAAAAACGCTCCCAATGTATAGATATATTAGTGGTGCGGGAATCCTTAAAGTTTTCATGCAGTTGAATGCTACTGCCCTAAAATAGGTCAATTTTAACTACCGGTAAATGCATTATGCCCATATGTGTAATGCCATCTCTTCAGTTAACTTTGATTTCCAATGTGATGCAGGCATATTGATGCTTAATCAATGCAGCTACACCATTCCATTGGCCCTAAATGACTTTAGTTGTCAATCGGCTGTAAAACGTTGCAAAATCAAAATACTTAATGCTAATTGGTTTCAATGTAATTTACAATTACTATCCTAAAAGTGGTCCTATTTAAGCTAAATTTGGCATACATAATGGTAAGTCTCTAGCAAGTGGCATTACCATTATGATGCACACACATTTATGCATAATTAATGAAGGCAGGCTATTACATATTGATTAGTTTTCATGCAGTGTAAGACCTGAACATGGTCTGATTACAACCAAATTAACAATGCATGGAGGTGTACAATTTCACCAGCCCAACATTAGGGCTAATAGATTTTATATCAGGGCCAGTCAAAATTTCACTTAACTTCCACTTTGAAAATACATGTAGGAATATTTCATTATGAAATTGTGAACCCCTGATGCTGAAACATATTGACCAGATCATTTGGTATGCATACATTTACACCAATCCTCAACAACGGACCATTGCAAAACACTGTACTGAAAATAGGAAATGGAAAGTATACAAAAGTTTTCACTGATTAAGAAAAATCATACAAGATTATATTCCTTTGTCCATACTGAGAACACTTCCATGATTGTACAACTATATATTATAATCTGATTTGGTCTTGAGTATCCTTGGGCCAATGCAAGGGAAGTAATTCATTTTGTGTAAGAGGTTTGGTCCCCTGGAGCAATGGTCATTTTCTGACTGAAGAACGAGTATCATTCTACCAAGTACCATATAACATATATTGATTTCCAGGTCAAAGGTTGAGGTCACACTCTTTGTGCAATATTTGTTTCTGTACTCAAAACTAATCCTCCTTTCTACTTAACATCTTTTCATCTAGGACCTTGACACTCCACCAAATGACCATGCTTGATCAAATAAGAACCATATTGCCAGTGCAGTCAAAAGTTCAAGGTCAATTTGAGCTATTATGTGAAAATGGGTTTCTAAGTAGGATATCTTTGATGTCCACTATAGGCTTGCATTTCTAGTTTTACTTCCTGAATCTCCAAGAAAATGATCTATCTGTATATAGCTATACAGGATATGATGTAGACAAAGGTATTGATCCGTAACACATGGATGTACTCAGCATCCCTCTGTACACTACACAGTTCCGTGTATTGATTTTAACCTATTGATCTACTTATCAATTCTATTGCTGATCTTTATCCAGTGCCGGTTTCCATCAGAGCTCTACACGATTGTCATATACATGTACTTATATCTACCTGCCAGGTAGATGTACTTATATCTACCTGCCAGGTACATGTTCGACAGACAGGCAAAGTGTATCAATGTTTGCATATTAAACATAAAATTCGGCTGACAGACTGTCATAACCATACAGTGCTTACCTGGAAATTTTCTTCACCTATCATACCGTTGTCATCAATATTAAATGGAACTGAGAATTGTACTGCAACTTTACCAAAGAACGATGATAAAATATTCATCTATTCTTGTCTTTTAGTATACCGTCAAAAGGTGGCTTTCAAAAAGATATATGATGGCTTGGTAAACAGAAATCTGTAACAGAATTGCCTAGTAATGTTAAGTATTGTTTGCCCAGGTAGGTTGGATGTGGGGAAACCGACATGATATACAACCTGTTATAACGTATAGCACACCTGATTTTGTAATGGGAATAACAAGGAAGTTCAGTTGCCAATGCAGGGTTTTATTTACTTGTCAGGGTGTCTGGTGAGACTTGGTACATACAACTTGTTACAATATGAATTTGTAATGGTAATAAAAATGCAGCTTAGTTCCAAATAAGGGTTCTACTTATTTGACACATCAAAGGTAAAATTTTGGATCTTATTCTGCGATATTTTCTAAATTCTAGAAAAGTCAGCTTGTATGTTCTGGAATTCAAAATGATAACTGCCTGATAAAAATACAACACAATAAAAGCAGACATTTATTTTTAGATTATCAATATTTATGTTATACTTCTGTCGATTTAGGTATATATTGCTCTTCAATGGAATCGTGTATTGGAGTATTGTAATATCATAAACCCGGCAGGAAGTACTAATCCCTGGAAAAGTCTACCTGGACTATAAAATAGATTCTGAAACATATTACGCAGAGAATTCAAGAAACAAAGTTTGACCTATTACCTGTGTGAAGAAGCCAATCATTCTGACTCACTGATCGAAGTGCATTCCACCAGTGTTAAAAATTGGTTAAAACCTTTAAAATGGTATTTAATTACAAATGAAACATTCAATACATGCACTCAAAATTCTAGTGAAATGAAACACACATTTTTATATTGCCTAATACCCGAAATGAAGGGTTGCCGGATTTATTAAATTATTATGTATAGCTTGTTCTCTTGAAATCATTTCTTTCTTGAAATATCTTAACAGAAGACTTGAAATCAAATATGTTTTGTGAAGGTTTGGCAAATAATTCCTCCACTAGGCATCACAGATGCCGCCGCCACCCAAGCTGCATGTTCTAATAAACTGAACAGACCTGTTTTAACAGTACTCCTTTTGCTAGCAAATGATATGGCGCAATGAAAAAGATATTACATTATGCATCTAAGCAGCCAAATATATCTTAGAGGTATCTAATGGCTAAAAATATCAGCTGAACTCAAACAAGAGTAAACTAGAAGTATCTTGAGCTGTATACATAATGGCCAGGAATAGCTGTTTTGCTTGAGGCCACGTGTGTTACACAGAATGGAGGCTTGCTGTGGGGTGATGTAGTCTGTGTGTGGTGCATCTAATGTGTACCAATCCTAGTCTATCATCTCCCCATCCATTCATAACTCTGGACCAATCACCGGACAGCTTCCAATGAGATGACCTGGTTCTAATGAAATATTTACTACATATACTATCAACCATGTGACTGTTTGCTTGAAAGTGTTATTTGTAAGCGGGAGATAGCTGTTATATTTCCGGTTTCGTTTATAGTCTGGAGTTTTACACTGTCATGTTTCCTGGTATAGAAACTTAGTTTAAGGAATGCTACAATGTGACAGAAGCTGACAGAACTGACCATATAATTGTTGGTCTACAGTATTGATCGCTGGTAACACTGACCAGCACTATTGTGTTGTAGATATACCTCCTGTTTTATTGTGTATATCTTGTAGTGGACCTGAGGCCACCTTATTGAACTGTGTAGAACCCTATTGTCTAGACCAGTGACAGAAAATACTGTATGGTCCGAAGTTTTAACAAGAAAAAGATCCTGTAGATTGAAAATGGAGATCTCCACACAGTTGGAAACCCCTGTACATATGAGAAAATTGTGTATGTGATCAGTGATCACTGACCCATTTAAAATATCAGGTAAACAGAACTCTAACTGGTGTATACACAGTCAGGTGTGCCCAGTCATATGAGAGTGCTCACCCATGTGTGGAGTATCCTGACCTGGGGATTTCATACCTATACTAGGGTGGAACGTTACTTGCGACCATGGGAAGCACAAGCTCAGTGCCCATTTTGGTGGATCTTAACAAACAGTCGGAGATAGTAGAGGTATGTATTCACTATTCAGTGTTATTGTCATTAGAAGACTTGTAGTTGACTAGTTGGGAAAGATGTCACTTTTTGTTTTGTGTGAATGACTGGTCTACACTACAAGATTTTATCCTTATGATACTTTACTTACTTGCATTAATCGTCATCCAATACTAGTAGACTACCTGGTATATACACAGCTATGCTTCACATACAGGTAGACATGGTATGGCTGTGTGTAGTTCTTCATTAGGACAGAGTAAGGTTATAATCAAGCTGCACATCAATTTAGTCTTCACTGTAATTAGCTACCAGTGTTGGTGCATTAACAAAAAACAACTTACTGTCATAAACTATGTCCAGGTTAAAACCATTGACTCGGATCAGAGAGATGATATGTATACCAGTAGGATAGTCCCTAACTAGTTGGACAGTAACTAGTAGAGATGATGTGTATATCACTAGGTTAGTCCCTAACTAGTTGGACAGGAACTGTGAGAGATGATATGTATACCAGTGGGATAGTCCTTAACTAGTTGGACAGGAACTAGGAGAGATGATATGTAAACAAGTGTAGCAGTACTGGACTGGGTTGATCGTCAGCGACCAGGTAGCTCAATTGGTAGAGTGTCTGAGTTTGGAGGGTCTCGGGTTCGGAACAGATGATATGTATACCAGTACAAGTGGCTGTAACTTGTTTGACATGGAAGAGATGCTGTGTATTTAAAAGGAATGTACCTCTGATTCCCTTAGTCGCTGTGGAAAATCTTTTTCTAACAATTTGTATGATAAACAGAAGTGATGCTTACCATACAGGCATACCGATGTTCCATGGTACCAAAGCTAAGAAAGTTTTATTTTTGGAAGATCAAACGGCTAAATCATCATATTGCCAAGTCATTAATTAGTAATATCTTTATTATAATCAACCCCAAAGCCGCCTACTTCTAGAAAATTGGACCCGTGTAGCAGAAATATGGATTTTGTAATTTGGATGGAAAGGTAGGAGATCTCTGTAAATTGTTAGTGTTATAGAAGCACATCCGGTATTCTATACATAAACAATGGGGCCACACATACAGGGGACTGTACCTTCATCAGGTACATACGTCAGTCTAAAGTCCAATCACAGCAGTGGTTACATCATCTCACCAAACATGCGGCCCATGGAACCTTAAGCCCGATCATTTTACATTTTGCACCTGTCCTTCTAAACCATTGTGTACATACCAATTTATAAATAGAAACATTATTGGTAGTAATTTCAAGTATGCAACATATTAGGGCTGATATTATCTCATGTATTCATATATTGGAAAAGATCTCATCTTTGTTATGTTTTTTATATTGTGTTCATCGATATTTTTATTTAAAAAAGGAAATCCCATTTGGTCAATATCTGGATTTTCACATAGTATTTCAATATATATTTGTTTGACACCTACACAGAGCCATCAAAGTAGAATGTTTGACTGCAGCAATACCGTAAATCAGATAATGAAAAATATACTGTATATGGAGCATGAAAAAGTATGTAAATTTAGTTGAAAGGCGAGATTGGTCTTGTTGTGGAATATTTTATATATATATATAGATGCGATACTAATACAGCTGTATATATAATTTCACACTTCAGTGACGTTGGATGAGTATTGCTACATATTGAAAACATTTTATACCACACTGAGTAAGTGTGTACCTCTAGGCAATATTAGTGATAGATGTGTCTTGAACCGAATCAGGGAGGATGTGGTTATACATTTCTCCCCGTCGAGCAACAAGCCTAAAGGTGATCATTTATAATTGAACGGTCTATCTTGTACATTTTTTATGATGAGTCGTGTCTAACAAACAGTAAAATCATAAAAAGCTGACCCAAGTTTCATGTTATTCTTGATTCTTCAAACTTTTAACATAAATTCAGATTATACTTTAGATTATACTCTTAGTCTTATAATATAGATATGTGTATCCTATATTACAAGTTTTACTGAATATATACAGAAGTTGTTTTTTGCTACAGCTGATTCAAATGTGTAAGACGTATATGAGCCAATCACTGTTTAATTACAGGTTTATTCAAGGGTCCCTGGTGCATTTATGTTTAATTGGAACAGTAATGGGGCACATTTTGTTTGTAAACAGCAATTTGGAGGAGGAGGG